CGTTGTATTTACAGGCGATACGCAGCAAGGAATCAATTAGGTTTCAAAACACTTGTTAACACCTCAGCACCCGTGCCAAAACAAAGAGAACACCATCAACAACAACAAATGGAGAATAAAAAGGGCTAACCTTTTGCCAGCCAGCCAGATAACCAGCCAGGCCTCCTGTGGTACGTGTTGTCTTCGGTAGCCTTTTGTTTCGATCGTAGGCTGTATGCCAACCAGCCAGCCAGACATTGCCTTTTGTGGGTTATCGATGTCTTGTTCGGATGCGGGTGTTTTTTTTCTCTTGTTTAAAATGGTATCTTTTGTTTTCTCTTTTTTCTTCTTCTAGTTCCCTTCCCCTTTGTTCTCATTAATCCAATTTGTTGCAATACCGATGACAACAGGTCTTTAACACCCCGGGATTTGTATTTTTTGCATCATTCTGGCTGGCTGTTTTCTATCAGGTGTTTTAGGGGTTTTCCAGCTTGACCGGAAAAAGGTGAGATAATCCAGATGTGTTACTGAAAATAAGTTAATTTGTGGTAAGTCTCAGATATCATGGTTAGATACAGGTGCAGGAATTTCCAACAGTCTATAGAAAAATGTCCCGTAGGGAAAGCGTGCAAATTTTGATTTCCGGGAATACGAACTCGTAAAGGAATCCATATTAAGCGCCTTAGAAAAAATATTATTTAAATAATCCACGCCTCGATGATATGTTACAAAATATTATTTAAATAATCCACGCCTCGATGATATGTTACAAAATATTATTTAAATAATCCACGCCTCGATGATATGTTACAAAATATTATTTAAATAATCCACGCCTCGATGATATGTTACAAAATATTATTTAAATAATCCACGCCTCGATGATAGGTTACAAAATATTATTTAAATAATCCACGCCTCGATGATAGGCTACAAAATATTATTTAAATAATCCACGCCTCGATGATAGGCTACAAAATATTATTTAAATAATCCACGCCTCGATGATAGGCTACAAAATATTATTTAAATAATCCACGCCTCGATGATAGGCTACAAAATATTATTTAAAAAAATCCACGCCAAATCCATCTAGACTACAAAACCACACCTCGAATATAACGACTTTGATAAACTTTGATAAAAAATCCACGACTTTGACAGACTCTTGAAAAATATTTTCAAAAACTCCACGCTTTCAAAATACCTATTAAAAACTATTTAAAAAATCCACGTTTTTGATAGACCTTAGACCTTCAAAATTTATTTAAAAATACACACCTTAGTATACCATTGAAAAATATTTTTAAACCAGTAAGGAAAATAGAAAGTCGGACGGGGCCGACTGTATGATACCCTTCACCACTTTGGGTATATTGAAGGAATAGTAAAAAGAAATTGGATCCATAAACATATTATTACGCAATCTATGCTACATTTTTCAATTGGTCAGATATAGAGTTGCAGCTATATCTAAATCTGAACCGATTTTCACGAAACTTAACACACATCATTCTAGACCTAATTCAGTGGACAATGCCAAATTTCGTGCAAATCGAAAAATATGTAGGGACTTCGGTACACCATTTAAATTAAACCGGACGATAATATATATGGGAGCTATATCTAAATCTAAACCGATTTTCACGAAATTTAACACACATCGTTCTAGACTTAATTCAGAACGATAGGCCAAATCTCGTGCAAATCGAAGGATATATAAGGACTTTGGTGCACTACTTACCTAAACTCGTACGAAAATATATATGGGAGCTATATATAAATCTGAACCGATTTTCAAGAAATTGAACACACATCGTTCTAGACTTAATTCAGTACGTTATACCAAATTTCGTGCAAATCGAAAGATATATAGGGAATTTGGTGCCCCATTTGCCTTAAATCCGACGAAAATGTATATGTGAGCTATATCTAAATCAGACCCGATTTTCACGAAACTTGGCAGACATAACTCTAGGCTCAATTCAGTACGTTATGCCAAATTTCGTGCAAATCGAAAGATATATAGGGACTTTGGTGCACCATTTACATTAAATCGGACGAAAATATATATGGGAGCTATATCTAATTCTGAACCGATTTTCAAGAAATTCAACACTCGTCTTTCTAGGCTTAATTCAGTACGCTATGCCAAATTTCGTGCAAATCGGAAGATATGTAGGTACTTTGGTGCATCATTTACATGAAATCGGAAAAAACTGTATATGGGAGCTATTTTAAATCTGGACAGATTTTCACGAAACTTAACACACATCATTCTAGACATAATTTAGAACGCTGTGCCTAATTTCGTGCACATCGAAAGATATATAGGGACTTTGGTGCACCATTTACTTAAAATCGGACGAAACTATATATGGGAGCTATATCTAAATTTAAACTGATTTTCTCGAAACTTAGCACACATCATTCTAGACCTAATTCAGTGGACTATACCAAATTTCGTGCAAATCGAACGATATATAGGGAATTTGGGGCACTATTTACCTCAAATCGGACGTATCTATATATGGGAGCTATATCTAAATCTGAGCCGATTTTCTCGAAACTTGGCAGACATCACTCTAGACTTAATTCCGTACGCTGTGCCAAATTTCGTGCAAATCGAATGATATATAGGGTCTTTGGCGCACCATTTACATGAAATCGCACGAAAATATATATGGGAGCTATATCTAAATCTGAACCGATTTACACGAAACTTAACACACATCATTCTAGACTTAATTCAATGCGTTATGCCAAATTTCGTGTGCCAAATTTCGTTCATATTGAAAGATATTTAGGGACATTGGTGCACCATTTACATGAAATCGGAAGAAACTGTATATGGGAGCTAAATCTAAATTTGGACCGATTTTCACGAAACTTGGCAGACGTCACTTTAGGCTCAATTCAGTACGTTATGCTCTGAACCGATTTTCAAGAATGTTGACACACATCATTCTAGACCTAATTCATTAGGCTGTGCCAAATTTCGTGAAAATCGAAACATATAAAGGGACTTTGGTGCCCCACCATTTACCTTATATCGGACGGAAATATATATGGGAGCTATATCTAAATCTGCACCGATTTTTCCCAATTTCAATAGGCTTTGTCCTTGGGCCAAACAAATGAGCTGTGCCAAATTTCATCCAATTCGGATCACAAATGCGACCTGTACATTGTTCACAATTTAACATGAACAGACGGATGGACGAACGGGCGGACTGACGGACATGCATAAATCGACTCAGAAAGTGATTCTATGCATATTCTCAAAAGGAACCATGTGTCTATTTCGATTATTTTTGCCTGTTACAAACATATGCACAAAGACATAATACCCTGTACCACAGAGTGGTGAAGGGTATAAAAATCGACGACTTTGATAGACCCTTGAAAAAAATATTTTTTTTACATTCACGCTTTTGATAAAACCTTGAAAAAAAATATATTTTTTTTAAATCCACGCCTTTGATAGACCCTTGAAAAAAGTATATTTTTAAAAAATCCATGCCGTTGATAGACCCTTGAAAAATTATTTTTTTTAAATCCACGCCTTTGATAGACCCTTGAAAAAAATATATTTTTATTTAAATAGACCCTTTGATAGACCCTTGAAAAAAATATTTTTTTAAAAAAATCCACGCCTTGGATAGACCCTTGAAAAAAATATTTTTTTAAAAATCCACGCCTTTGAAATACCCTTGAAAAATTTTTTTTTTTAAATCCACGCCTTTGATAGGCTCTTGAATTTTTTTTTTAATCCACGCCTTTGATAGGGTCTTTAAAAAAATATTTTTTTTAAATCCACGCCTTTGATAGACCCTTGAAAAAATATTTTTTTAAAAATCCACGCCTTTGATAGACCCTTGAAAAAAATATATATTTTTTTTAAATCCACGCCTTTGATAGACTCTTGAAAAAATATTTTTTTAAAAAATCTACGCCTTTGATAGACCCTTAAAAAATATATTTTTTTTAAATCTACGCCTTTGATAGACCCTTGAAAAAAATATTTTTTTAAAAATCCACGACATTGATAGACGGATAAAATTTTTTTTTTAATTTTTTTCCAAAGCCCAGGGATTCGTAGATTTTTTAAATAATGTTTTTCCAAGACTAAATAAGGCGTATATTTTTAAATAGATTTTGTAAATAATTTGTTTACGAAGTCCTCAAGGCGTACATTTTTTAAATAATTTTTTATGAAGTCCCCAAGGCGTAGATTTTTTAAATATTGTTTTATGAAGTCCCCAAGGCGTAGATTTTTTAAATAATTTTTTAGTTAAGTCCCCAAGGCGTAGATTTTTTAAATAATTTTTTACGAAGTCTCCAAGGCGTAGATTTTTAAATAATTTTTTATGAAGTCCCCAAGGCGTAGATTTTTTAAATAATTTTTTTTTAAGGCTCTCAAGGCGTAGATTTTTTAAATAATTTTTTTTTTGTGAAGTCCTCAAGGCGTAGATTTTTTAAATAATTTTTTTTGTGAAGTCCTCAAGGCTAAGATTTTTTAAATATTCTTTTGTAAATAAAAATTAAAAAGTCTTTGTTTTTTTTTTTTTTTTTTTTTTGATTTTCTTTTATTTTTCTTGGCATAAATAAACGAAACAGAAAGAGAATAAAGAATAGAAAAAAAACTTAAAGGCAAATGGTAGAAGAATCAACGAACTACATAACAGCAGAACTTCCTTAAAAAACTATAAGCGTAATTTTTTCGACTTATAACTAAAAAATTTTAACACTTAAAAACTAAACTTTTTTAAAATAATTTTTTTTCAGAAAATTAATTTAGAAAAATTAAAAAAAAAAATACTTAAAAACTATAAGCGTAATATGAGAGCGATTCCCCTCGTTTGTCAACAACAAAAAGAAGAAGAAGAAAAAATTAACAGAAAATTTTTTTAAAAATTAATTAACGACTTTTTGTGTGATTTAAATTCGTGGTTAGGCGATTTTTGGTAGGATTTTTTGGTATTCATTCTCGTTCTCTTTTTCTCAGGACTTCTCTCCTCTCAAACATAAATGGAGGGTAGGGCCAGGCCAACCTCAAAATAGTTCCTCGAATCAACTTTGTATTTTTTGGCACTGGAATTTTGACAGGTTTTCGAATTGGATCGCCGTTTAAGGTTGCGATTTGCCACTGGGGGTGTGGCCAAATTAAAGGAATCCTGATGCTTGTTGCCCTGCTGCAGAGGTGTGGGTAGCTGTAACAGTTGGGAGGCGGTGAAGTTCACCCCTGGATTGGGGGTAGCTGGGGTGGGGGTTATTGGCGCTGCCAATACAATTGGTGAAGCTGGTTGAGGTGTCATGGGCCGTATGAAAGGTTTTTGTTCACCACCCAAAAAACTCAGATCGCTACAAGGATCATCCCCAGCAGCATAGGATGGGGAGAGTATCAAATCATTGGTAACTGTATCCACTTGATTTTTCATCAAAGTTCTCCTTCTCAAATTGAAGGTGGAACGACGTGGCTTCTTTTTCTTTTCCTCCTTGCGGGCCGAATCCAAAATGGCATCGATGAGATTATCCAAAGTTTGATCACCCATGCGATTGGATAGGATGCCGGTATTATTTTTCATATCCTCTTTGCGGCCGACTGGGATAATTGCTACCTCCTCTTCTTCCTCCTCCTGGGCAATGGCCAAAAAATCCAATTCCAATTTACGTTTTTGTGGCAGGGCCGATTGAGGAGAGCTGCTCACTTGGCTGGCAATTTGTTTCACCTCTTGTTCCGCCACCTGGGGTGTGGTGAAATAACGACGATTTGCCATAAATGGATCGGGTAGGAGTCCCCTCAAGGCCAATTGTTGGCCGGTGAACACGGTATTGGGTGAATATTCCTCTTCGAATTTTGGCAAAGTGGTGGCATATTTAGGAACTTCGGCGGCAGGGAGGGTTAGACCCAAGGTGGAGTGTCTCCTCTGATTACGTTGTCTATTTGCTGTTACAGCCTCAGAGGTAACCCTTCTACGTTCAACGGGTGTACCACTGGGGCTAACCAAAGTTTCGGGTGTAACATTCAAAATATCCGCCAATGGGGTCAAGACCAAGGGACTATTCCTTGTACGGCTAACCATGGGTGTGGAGGTCAAAATCGGAATATTTTCCTTATTGGCAATTGTGGCGCGGCGTTTACGCCTCTTGGCGTCTGTGGAGCGAGGTACTCTGGCGGCAGGCACACGATGTGTTACCGGGGTATCCTGAGGCATTTTGCTAGCTGAGGCTGTCCACTTTAACATTTTGTTTGGTTTTTAATTTTAAATATTTTTTAAAAAAGTTTTTTTTATAAAAAAGCACGTTTTCTGTTAAGAACCGTTGCGAAAGAAAAATTTTTTGAAATTTCTAATTTTCTTTGTTTTTTTCCGTAACGTTGTGTTCTGAATCGCAATTGCTGACAAACTGATTTCACAACTCTCTCGCCCGGGTATTTATACCCGAAAAAAGCAAAGAGGCACCCCTCACCGAATGTGGCTCTCACGACCAGGTAAGGTAAGGGCCAACAGATGAGGTAATGTTACTCTACAACCCTTAGTTTGCAACCGTTACGACACACACAAATAACGTGCTCCAGTTACTCTCTCCCATGGTTTCTCTCAGCATATGCTGTCCTGTTGCTCACCAAAGCAACCACCACCCTTAGTTTGACGACCAATGCCATCAATTCATTGCCCGAACGATTGTTCTAATCGTGTCTCGTGCTCTCGTGTTTTATTTTTGCCGGCAAATAATCCTCTCTGCATGGTGTCTCCATTTTACGAAAACGTCTTCGGCACTATACACTGTTAGAAATTTCCGGCAGGTATTTGAATATCTAAGAAAACTCTGCAGGACCTTTGGCCACAACCACAATTGAGGTGTTAAAATCTTCAATGGAAATTATGATAAATTATCGTATCTTATTGTTCGAAAGGATTAAAGGTGTTAATCCAAATCAAGCGTGATATTGTTATGGACACAATGGGGGGGCTGACATAAGTAGATTCTTTAAGGATGTCTACAAAAATTCTCGCATTTAAGGATAGAAAAAATAGTACTTAAAATTTTTCCCAAGCCATTGATTTTTTTAAAAACATTTTTAAGGGTCTATCAAAGAATTTTTTTTTCCAAAGCCCAACAAGGCGTAGATTTTTTTTAAAATTTGTTTTTTCAAGGTACAACAAGGTGTAGATTTATTAAATAATTTTGTTTTCAAGACCCAACAAGGTACATATTTATACCCTACACAACTATGTTGTCAGGGTATTATAGCTTTGTGCAGCCCCAAGAGTTTGTAACGCCGCGAAATATTGGTCCTACACCCAGCTTTAAGTATAGCGATCGTCAATCTCGACTAGCTGAGTCCATCTTGACATGTGTGTCCGTCCGTCCGTCTGTCCATTATAATTTGTAAACACGATGCAGGCCACATTTATGGACCAATCTTCACGAAATTTTACATGTATGATGGATTCTGGCCAATGAAGACCCCTATTGTTTTTGGTAAAAATCGGTTAATATTTATCGGATGAAATGGACCAAAAACTTTATTTTTTTTTAGTTTTCTGGTAGATCTAGAGGCCGCAATTATGACCCAAACATCGCAAATGGAGAAGGGGATCGGGACAACGAATAAGCATGCATGTTTTGATAAAGATCGGTCAATATGTAGCGGGTCAAATTGACCCCGACTTTTGTGTGAAAAATGATAAAATTTGTATTCTATGGACATATATTTTCCCCTGAAGGACATAGACCCGAGAAGTTAATAGTATATCCAAGAGTGGTGGTTGGCCCTTAAATTGATACCAATTATATTGTCGCATGTATCCGGATGTGGAAGTTACACTAAAATATTTACAGGTGATCACGTATTCAGATATTATTTAGTAACCCATTACCAGACTGGAGGGCGGAAATATATCGATAATAATTTTAGGATGAAATGGACCGAAAATTTCATTTTTTGAGATAATAATTTTGGGATGAAGTGAACCGAAAACTTAATTTTTTGTGTTTTTCTAGAGTCGAAGCCGAACATCACAACACAACCCACGTGAAGAGAACCTGGACAAGTAATTAGAAGGACTGTACAGAATATTAGAAATATTCGGAAAATATGTAAGTGTAAGGAAGAGGTGCTGTTGACCTCTACAACATGGTGTAGATATCACGAAATATTTCCCAGGCTTGGAATAAACATCCTCAGAAAGTTAAAGTTCCGTGGTAATTGTGTAGGATATCCAATGGTCGGCCCCGTCGGACTATACTGCTCCGCTCACTGCTGAAAATATTTATACACTTCTCCACACTGTGGTACAGGGTATTATGTCTTTGTGCATATGTTTGTAACAGGCAAAAGATATCGAGATAGACCCATTGTTCTTTTGAGAATATGCATAGAATCACATTCTGAGTCCGTCCGTCCGTCTGTAGTTGTTAAATTGTAAACAAAGTACAGGTCGCAGGTCGAAATTTGGCATAGAGTACTGAATTAGGTCCAGAATTATGCGTTCCAAGTTTCGAGCAAATCGGTTCAGATTTAGATATAGCTCCCATATATATTTTCGTCCGATTTATGGTAAATGGGGCACCTAAGTTCCTATATATCCTTCGATTTGAACGAAATTTGGGATAGAGTACTGACTTACGTTCAGAAAGATGTGTGCTAAGTTTCGTGAAAATCGGTTCAGATTTGGATATAGCTCCCATATATATTTTCGTCCGATTTAAGGTGAACGGGGCACCAAGTCCCTACATATCTTTCGATTTGCACGAAATTTGGCATAGGGTACTGAATTAGGTCCAGAATGTTGTGTGGTAAGTTTCGTGAAAATCGGTTCAGATTTAGATATAGCACCCATATAAATTTTCGTCCGATTTAAGGTAAGTGGTGCACCAAAGTTTCTATATATCTATCGATTCGCGAGAAATTTTGCATAGTGTACTGAATTGAGTCTAGAATGACGTGTGCCAAATTTCGTGAAAATCGCTTCAGATTTAGATATAGCTCCCATATATAGTTTGTCCGATTTTATGTAAATGGTGCACCAAAGTCCGTATATATCATTCAATTTGCACGAAATTTGGCATAGTGTACTGAATTGAGTCTAAAATGACGTGTGACAAATTTCGAGAAAATCGGTCCAGATTTAGATATAGCTCCCACATATATTTCCGTCCGATATGAGGTAAATGGGGCTCCATAGTTCCTATATATATTTCGATTTGCACGAAATGTGGCATAGAGTACTGAATTAGGTACAGAATGATGTGTGCTAAGTTTCGTGAAAGTCGGTTCAGATTTATATATAGCTCCTATATATATTTTCGTCCGATTTAAGGTAAAAGGTGGACCAAAGTCTCTATATATCTTTCGATTTGCACGAAATTTGGTACAGCATACTGAATTGAGTCTAGAATGATGTGTGCTAAGTTTCGTGAAAACCGGTTCAGATTTAGATATAGCTCCCATATATAGTTTTGTCCGATATCTTTTGATTTGCACGAAATTTGGTATAGAGTACTGAATTGAGTCTAAAATTACGTGTGATAAGTTTCGGAAAAATCTGTCTAGATTTAGATATAGCTCCCATATATATTTCCGTTCGATATAATGTAAATGGGGCTCCAAAGTTCCTATATATCTTTCGATTTGCACGAAATGTAGCATAGGATACTGAATTAGGTCCAGAATGATGTGTGCTAGGTTTCGAGAAAATCGGTTCAGATTTAGATATAGCTCAAATATATTTTTTCGGCCGATTTAATTTAAATTGTGCACTTAAGACCCAAAGATTTGCCGATTGGTGCACAAAACGTACTGAAATTAATAAAAATTAAAATTTAGCTAGTTTTCTTGAAATAGGTTCGGATTTAAGTTCGTTAAATTTCATGTCAATGTTGTTTTGAAAAGGCGACGTCTGTTAGGATACATATGTAGAATATCCCCAAAGTGGTGAAGGGTATCATACAGTCTGCCCAGTCCAACTTTACTACTTTCCTTACTGTTTTTTTTTTTCAATTTTACAGTGTATTTATTATTTATCCCAATTTTCTCCCTGTGTATTTCTCAATTTATTTGAGGTTATAGCACGTGGTTAAGTTGTTAATTCCTGTTGCAATTGTAGCACCTTTTCTTGTCGTTCCCTCTCTCTCTGTCTCTCTCTCATATATTCTTTATTTATGCTGCTGCAATTTTCATGTTCTCTCTCTCGCTCCCTCCTGGTTTCCCCCTGCCGTGTTGTCACTTTCTCTTTTTAATTTCTCACTCTCACTAATTTCGATGTCTCTGATGTGTGCGCTCTGTGCGTCTTGAAACTAGAACAGGAACAGGATTTTTTACCATTCTTCATTCATTCACATTCTTTCAAAGGACAATGGACGGTGTGTGTGTGCGTAGTGTGCACCCAAGACGCGATTGCTTGCTTGCTTAGGTGACTGGATGTCTGTCTGCCAGTCAGCCAGCCAGAATCCTGTCCAGAATTCCATTGCAAATGAAATACAACAATTAAATGTTCAGTTTTTTTGCGATGAATGGTAACTTAAAAAAAAGTTGCAAGATGCTGACTGTTGCATGCCAGAAACAACAAAAAAAAAAAGAATCTAGACAGGATTTCTTTGTACGTTTCATTGTCCTGTTGTTTTCTTAGGCATGAAATTGAGATGGCTACGAGTTGTTGTTGGATTTATTTTTTCATTCTAAAAAATTAAACTTATGAAAACATTTAAATTTTATTAACATGCAAAGATAAAAATCTCTGGCTTGCTTGTCTCTCTTTGAAGAAGAAGAAAAGGATTCTTCACTTTGCGAATCCTGTTGTTGCCGAGTTCCTCTTTTTTTTTTGCTCAAGGTGTAGCCATGCAGAACTTCTTCTTCAAGAGGGAACTTCTACTTTTTGTTTTTTTGTGTATTATTTCAAAGATTATTATCATGTCCATCATATCTCCTTGGAAGTGAGCTGTGCCCCCTCTCCCCCCTCCATCTCCTTTGAGTAATAGTTGTTTGGCAATTAGTTATTATTAGCGGAAGTGGTTTCCTTTTTTGAAGAAAACATTTTGGGATTTTTTTTATAGGGAAATTTTTTGTGAGGGTATTTCTTGTGCAACAACGAAGCAACAGGATTCGTGTTCGTGTCTGAGGGCCATTAACATTTCAAAGTCGCTGAGGGTTTCTGTATTTTAATGATTGTGGGAATAATGGTGGTGACAAGTGTATTTTGTTCAACTATCTTGTAAATGTCAAAAACTACATAAAGAGGAA